TCACTCACTCTCCTTCACTCTCTCCTCACTCTCCTCTTCTGCCCGTCTCTCTTTCTCTCTCTCTCTTTCTGTCTTTCTCTGTCTGTTTGAAATTATCTGGAAAAAAACAAAAAGAATTTTTCTCCCTGGAAATCATTCTAAAAGTCCCATGCAGTCAGTGTGGCTCCAACATAATTATTTGCAAATAAGAATAGCAAGAATAGCAAGTTTATGCGTATGATCATATATAAACGAGCAAATCAAAGATATGTTATAAGAATTAACCAGAAAAAAATATCCATTCTTATAAACGGCAGTGTATGTCTTTATTTTTTTTACCACATGTATAAACATGCACACACACATGTATGTATCTTCAGGCAGTTTGGCAGGCAAGCAGACAAACTGACAGACAGACAGACAGACAGACAGACAGACAGACAGACAGACAGACAGACAGACAGGCAGGCAGAGGCCGACAGATAGAGAAAGAGAAAGATATAGAAATAGAGATAAAGATATAGACAACCCCCCCCCCCTCCGAAACACACACACACGCATCACTGTGCACTGAAAACATAAACCAAAACTGGAGAATGTTGAGAAGAGAAATTCTATACATCTTCCTCAGACTATTCCCAAAAGCCATGAATGTTTAATCCAACAGTAAAAAAAAAAGACGACTATATACCCGGCGACTCACTAACTCAAACTTTAAAGGCAGGCCGTATCACATTTCCTGCGTGTGAACTCTAATTGTAATATGTAAATTGTGGAGTTTTTTGACGGATGATGAATTTAAGTTATAGTTCAGTATAGTTAGTTTTAGTTAGTCATCGTCTTCGTGAACATCATTATTATGATTATTATTATTATTATTTACCATGTCATCATCATCATTATTATATTATTATTATTATTTTCATTATTATTATTGTTGTTTTGATATAATTATTATTATTATTATTATTATTATTATTATCATTATTATATTATTTATTATTATTATTATTATTATCATTATCATCATTATTATTACTATTATGATTGTTATTATTATCATTATCAATATTACTATTGTCATTATTACTACAATCTTTTTATTAGTTTCACATCTTCTTATCATTATTATTATGGTTATTATTATCATTATTGTTATTGTTATTAGTATTATCATTATTTTAGTTGTGATTATTTTTATTGTTATTTTCATTATTATCATTATTATAGTTATTATTATTATTATTATTATTATTATTATTATTATTATTGTTAGTAATACTTATTGTTATTAATGATAATGATAATTAATAAGGTTAATGATGATGATATTCAGTATTTACATCGTTAATGTTGTTGCTGTTGTTTTATTATTATTATATTATTATTATAATTATTATTATTTTATTATTATTGTCATTATTATTATTTATCAATAACATTATTATTAGTAGTGTTATTATTATTATTATCATCATTATCATTGTCATAATTATGAATGATAATAATAGTAATAATAATAATGATAGTGATGATAATTGATATGATAATAATGATAATATAATTATTATGTTTTTATTTTTTATAATAATTATATATTTTTAATAATTTTATAAGATTTTTGTATATTATATTATTGTTATATCAACAATGATAGTAATAATAATGATGATGATGATAGTAGTTATTATCATTATTATTATTATTGTTATCATTACTATTTCACTCAAAATTAGAATTAAAATTAAAACTATGATTAAAATCATCATAAATATGATTTTCATAATTGTTGTAATTATTATGATTTTTTAAAAATTACTATGATTCTTATCATTGTTAAGATGATGATAACAATAAAGATAATAACAATAATGATAATAATAAAGATGATTATGATAACAATGATAATGATGATAGTAATTGTAATAATGGTGATAATGATAATGATAATAGTAATGATATCATCATTACTTGCATTAATATGATTATAATTGTCGTTGTTTTTTGTATTTGTTCTTTGATTCTTGTTCATTTTCATAGTCATTATCATTATCATTATAATTTGTATTATCGCTATCGTTATTATCATTATGACCATAATCCTGATAACAATTTTGGTATTACCATTATTTTTATTATCGTTATCATTATCATTACCATTATGATTATGATTATTATTGTTAGTGTTATTACTATTGCTATTGTTGTTTATATTTATTATTATCCTTACTATTATAAATATTATTGTTAGTAATAGTAGCATCATCATTATTATTATCCCCGACATCATTAACTTTTCAATTATTTTTTCTATTATCTCAATTATCACAATCATAATTCTCCCCCGCCTTTCACCAGTCTCCGTCTTGCTACCACCATCACTAAACTTCTTCAGCGCAAGTTCAATATCCTTTCTATAACTGCCGCAAGCACTACTTTTCGCTGCCAATTTGCATGCGTCACTGACAAGCAACATCAAGATGAACAATTGAGTCAGAATTCATGCGCTATATTCCTGTTCATGAGCTCATGGAAGTAAACTGCCAGGTTGTTCATATTTAGTCAAGCTTGTGTGACTGGGTTTCCCCCTGACTGAACGCTGAACACAGGATTGGGATGAATATATTTCTTATTGAATTTAGATGGATTGGTTTAATTTGGTGATCGTTTGTCATAATTGAAAGTCCGGATGAGAGTTGGATTTAAGAAAGATGTCATATTTTTTCTGATCATTTTACGGTAAGTTCTGGAATTAATATATATATTTTTTCTATAGGATATCTGTGCAGTCCTGTATTCTGGCTGTTTCGCTATGCAAGGCTCGCGGTTGGCAATAAGCGCATTTTATTGAAACTATTGTAGCATAAGTCTACTGCGAATTCCATGTAAAACACACATATTCAGTTATACAATTTCCAGCCGCCGAGCATAAGCCCAGTAGGGAAAATGTCAAAAAGTTTTCCATATAAATTAATTACATGTACTCGCACACACACAACACACACACACACACGCACGCACGCAACACACGCACACACACACACACACGCACACGCACGCACACGCACACGCACGCACGCACACACACCACACACACACACACACACACACACACACACACACACACACACACACACACACACACACACACACACACACACACACACACACACACACATACATAAAACTAGATAGCTTGGTAGACAGACAGACAGAGAGACAGACAGACACATTTATTAATGTATCTATGTACATTACACGAACATGTACCCACACAATCAAAGGCTTAAACTCAACCCACACCGGAACCCGCGACCGTCACCTTATACTGCCAACCCCAATACATACATTACCCTGATGCGTCCCTCAAGAGTGGGCGGGATATCGGCGCCTTTATCTCTCCGCTGCAACTCAAATCACGATTTCGCCCCACACACCAGCGGGATGGGTGTGGGTGTTTGTTCTTTCCGAGTTCGGTTTTTTTAATGTTTTTTTTTCGTTTTGGTTTCTTTTTTCGTGTTTGTTTGTTTTTTTTTGTTCTGTTTTGTCTTTTTTTTTTTTTTTTTTTTTTTTTTGTCTCTGTCTGTCTCTTCTCTCTCTCTCTCTCTCTCTCTCTCTCTCTCTCTCTCTCTCTCTCTCTCTCTCTCTCTCTCTCTCTCTCTCTCTCTCTCTCTCTCTCTCTCTCTCTCCTCTCTCTCTCTCCCCTCTCTCTTCTCTCTTCTCTCTCTCTCTATCTCTATCACTTTCTCTCCTCCCTCTCTCTCAGTATGTCAATATGGTTGCCTATCTGTCTCTCCTCACTCATAAACTAATCTTGTTTGCTTATAAACTCGTTATAAAATCCCGTGATGATATTGCACTTACAATATTGGCTATCGGTTGTTATGTTGTACAAGAAAAAAACAAGTTAAATCAGTTTTGTATCTCTTTATGATATATACGTGAATTTTATAGTTTACTGCCCTAATTATCCAAGTTTTCCTTCTAGATATAAATCACGTTTAAGATTTAACGTAATTGTTGTTTTTTCTTTTCTTTTGGGGTTATCCTGTTTTTTCTTTCGCCCATTCATTTTTTTTTTTTTTTTTTTTACTTTTTCTTTCAGTCTCTGCTCTGTCTCTCTCTCTCTCTCTCCCTGCTACCATTGCTCTTTCCCTCTTTCTCTTTCTTATTTTTCTCAATCCCATTATCTCCATCTGTCTCTCCCTTTCTCCCTCTCTCTCTTACCGTTTCTTGCTGCCATCCTCAAATTTCTCTATCTTTCTCATCCTATCATTTTTTTTTAATTGTACTCACTTTTTCTTTCTCCTCTTCTCCATCTCTCCTTCATTCAGTATCTCTCTCTCCTTCCTTCAAACTCATCAATCTCTATCTCACCCCTTTCTTCTCTGTCAGTGTCTGTCTGCCTGCCTGTCAGTCTCTCTCTCTCTCTCTCTCTCTCTCTCTCTCTCTCTCTCTCTCTCTCTCTCTCTCTCTCTCTCTCTCTCTCTCTCTCTCTCTCTCTCTCTCTCTCTCTCTCTCTTCTCTCCCTTCTTCCTTCCGTCCCTCCCTTAATTTTTCATCCACTACCCCGTCCTCTCTCCCTCCGTCCCCCTACTTTTCTCCACTCCCCTCTTTCTCTCTTTCTTCCTGAGGTATTCTGACTTACCGACCTCTGTGAAGTTCATCCCGAACTCAATTACTCTGTTCTATCTTTTGTTGCTATTTCTTGAGTTTGGTGTGTCTTCTAAACGTCGCTTTTTATTTTTTTTATTTTTTATTTTTTATTTTATTTATTTATTTATTTAATTTTTAATCCTTTTGATATGGTGATTCAGTGGTGTTTGTTTGTTTGATTGTGAATCTGTTTGCTCTGTGTCACTGTTGTTTTATTTTTTATTCCTTTATGTTCTTTATCATATTTGTTCACATGCTACATATTCCATGTATTAACTCTTTTTTTCAGTATTTCACTCTATTTTTCTTTCTCATGTTCGTCTTTCTTTTTCTCTTTATTTATCATTTTTCTTTTCTCGTTTCAG